CTTCAATAAATTGACTGAGGACTTATCATGCGTATAGCAACCATTCTTCCAGGAAGATGATTAAAAAGAAGCTGCACACCATACTGTCCCTACGATGCAAGTTTTGGTACAGAAAGATATCTGCGTACTTAAAAATTAAAACACTAAATCAAGGAGTAAATTAAGACCCCTGTCATTAAACAGCTGCGTTTTCCAACACATTTTTTTTCAGAATTTTTCCACTGTCCAAAAGCAAGCAGTACTCCCAAAAAAGACTACCCACATGCTATGCTTATGTACTAAGTGATACTATGAAAAGTGTTTCAACTTAGAGAAAGTGGACAGTTTTCAAATTAAACAAAAACTTCTGCTTTCAGCCTTCTTACCTAATAAGCAGCCTGGCATTAAGCCAACTGGACCAACAAACTCCAATGAAACTGCCACATATGGGTGAGCTAAAGCAAAACAGTCTTGTAGCAAACCACCGCCCACTGCCTGCAAAGTCATTACTGAATGACTATTCCATATTAAAATCAGCAACTTGCTGAACATAATTAAAAAATATAGATTGGAAGCAGCATATTAAACCTTAGGGAAACTACTTAAGCAGTAGAATGCAAGCCGTGAAAAAGCACCAACAACTGACAATAACAAAAATACAGGAAGCAACCCCCAATCCATCAGCAATCAATCTCAGTGAGTTGGTCAGTGTTGCAAAGTGTACCCAAAAGCCTACAGGCCAGATTACACCACCTCTGGGTTCTTTAGGGAGAGCCCTCCCTCTACACTGAAAGTCTGGGCTTAATCCAAGACAGCCCATAGAATGAAATGCCACCTCTATTGAGAGTAAACAAGATGGTGAAAATCTGTGCCTGCACAAACAGGATCAACTGCTAACCTGAAACTAAAATCAGAGAGAAAACAAAATATACAGCTTGCTCTAAGAAACTGCCAGCTGGAGACATCAGGGTGACGGATGCTGTTATTAAACCAAACCATAGCAGAATTCAGGGAGCAGAGATCACTGAAATGTGAGGCGAAGACGTCGGCATCAAAAGGAAAAGGACATTGCACAACAGGTCTCTGACACCCCATCCTCTGCAGTCCCATTCTAAGACTTGGGGGGAGAACAGATAACCTGACAACTCATCATCACAGAGATCGTAATCTCTTGCTTCAGGGAGAGGCGTGGAATTAAAATAATTCCCTCCTTTGGTGGCTGCCAAGGAACATGACCTACAATTCCACACTAGATAATAAGTGAAAGAAAGCCAGCATTTATGAAATATTTTTGTCAGCTGAAAGAAACTGTCGCTTCGGTCAAGTCAGATTCACCCCTGATTTGTTGATGCCCGTTTTCACGCTCCAGCTCACCACAGCACGGATCACACCACGGTTTCAACGACACTCCTCTTGCTGGCAAAACCAGCTGAAGCAGCTCTTGGCCCCACAGCAGTGCTGCTTTGTCCTTGGTGGGGCCACACCACCAACAAGCAGCACAGATGTGGTGCAGCATCAGCCCTCTAAGCGCCGCCACTTCTGAGGAGGCTGCATGGCAGCAAGGAAGAGGGAGTAGGAGTTGGCAGAAGTATCTCAGGCTGGCTTTTCTGGCACACACAGAGGCAGTGATGCACCCACAGCGAGAGGCACAAGCTTCCATGAATGCAATGACCACCTGAAACACGTAGAACGCCACTAATGCTGCTGCGTTTGAGTTAATCTTAATGAGCAGGCGGTGACATCGGATATTTGCATATGTATTCACAATAGGAGTTTTATTGTGCAAGTCTCAAGCTACATTCAAACTATAAATATAATCACGGAGGAGAAAGAGGCAGCTCTGGTTTTGCCCATAGCAACGATGAACCCACAGACAAGCCTATGTTGGGAACGACCACACTGTCCTGCCAGGAAGGGCTTGTTTTCACGTTTCACATGCCTCAAGTCACACTGACACCTCTTTTAGTCAGGAGGAGGACAGCATGGACATGCCCAGTGACATGGAGTGACCATGTGCCCAAGCCATCACACCACTTTACACTCTCCCTACCCTGGCAGCACCACAGCTAACCCCAGGTTGGCTCCTCCCTAGGTCTTTCTTGTAAAGTTGTAGCACCTGTGTGCCCCAAAAGCCAGAGATACACAGGTAGCTGAAAGCTCTGGGTCCTTTGTAACATGAGGGCCAGCCCACTCCAAGTTGCAGGGCATTCCTATACATCCCAACACACTGAGGGGTAAAGTCTACACCAAGTTCAGCCTGGCCCTTCTGCCTGTGGTAAACTACAGAAATCAACTATTAATATAGCAATACCACTGTAAAAACCTGCAGTACCTTTTCCCATGGGTTTTCATGCATGTATAAGTAGTATGCATAAATAGTTACCCCAAGGGAAAGGGCCCACTTCTTGCTATAGTTAAGGTAAAATGTCCATGGTATTGCTGGTAGTTGAGAAACCATCACCATACTTGAGTAATCCTTGTAAACAAAATAAGCCTCTTTTTGTAGACTGTCTGGGTACACACTGCTCAGGAAGATGAAAGACAAACAGGTCACAAAGCTAAAGGAGTTTTAAATACCTGCTTTGGAGACAACTTCAGCACAACACAGAGGTTTAAAAAAAAAAAACACAACAAAAAACATGTTCCATATTTACAAAGTACTATGAGATCTTAGGAGCTCCTATACCTTTACCTCAGTTTGTAATTAGGATTCTCTCAGTCACATGTGCACAGGATTATAGATTTCCTTCCCTTCCCCCCCACTACCCACCAAAATCAAGTTTCAAGTTTGTGGACCAGATCCAAGGAGCTGGTTTCTATGCATTCCTGAGGGAGAAAGGGCTATAGAAAAGCCTTTTATTTCTGCATGTATTTCCCAGAAGGCCTAACTAATGCAAAAGGAAATGTATCAGGCTTCTTCAATGGGGGGAGGGCAGGAGGGGATTAACATGTTTCATGGGCAGAGTGTGTGCAAGTGGGGAGGGGTGAGCACTTCAGCCCGAGCAATTAAATGCAACTCCTTTGTAAACCCTTACTGTAGGATATCTGAAATACCCTTTTCAACAGAAAAACCTACTCGAGTAAATTGCACTGAAAAAACAGGCTGTATGTCACAAAAAGCTACTGTGAGGGGGCACACTTGAAATGCATATGTACATCTCTTGAGAATCACCATTGAAGCACATCAGCATCGTGAATTTCAGCGTATAAATACAGGAGTGCACGTTTCCATTGCAAGTCAGTGTCATCTGCATGAGCAGTTTCACGCAACTGCTTGCTATGGTTTCCTCCTCCTAAACTGATTTTATACATATTTCTCTACAAAGCTTTTCAAGAACCTAACCAGGGTTAGTCCCAGGTTCAGAAGGACTTAATGGTAAGATTAAAAAAAAAAAAGTAAGGCAATCAGAAACAGAGCAACCGTTCCCTGTACTAAAATAAATAATACAGAAAAATTGAATTCGGACTCTGGCTGCTGAGTCTGTTTCACTGCCAAAGTGTACCTGTAGGCAATGCACCAAGCAGCTTTTGCCCCTCCTCGTATCTCTGGGGACCCAAATCCTGACTCCAACTATCACAGACACTGTCAAGTAGAGCACGCTGCCCTGAGCCTCTCCTGTTGCCCCTGGGTATTGGGGTTTTTTTAATTTAAAACACTCCCCTTCCTTTTGCTAGCAAAAGCAGGACTTAAGGCAGACATAGGCTGAGTTTGCTGAAGGTAAATGTTGCTTTTATTTTCAGGAGGAGGAGAGGCAGCACACCACACAGCTCAAGTTAACAGGTTAGCATACACTTACCAACACACAACTACTTGAACAAGGACAGTAGTTTTACTGCAGTTGCTGGTTAAAAAATTCCTACTCTACCTGTACTTAAAAACTGTTTTCATGTTTAATACAGCATGCAACTATTACAGCTGTCTCTTCACACTAAGTAAAAACAAATTCATTGCCAGAGTTAATCAACATTAATATTAGTTACAGTGTAAACAGCCTAGTATATTTAACTAGTACACGCAATAACATAACCACTCATCTTCCTCTTCAACCTTCTCACAGAAAAGTAAAAGCAGCAAAATTATTTATTTACTTAAAATCAAATGATCAGGTTGATTGTTCCAGGACCGTGCTTTTAGGTAGTGGATTACTTAGCATTGTAATTAAAACATTTGGTAAATCAACTGAAAAAACCCTAGCAAGATTTATTACTGATTTTGCTCAGTCATTTTTCCTATAATCTCATTTTACAGTATTTGAAGACTTTCACTTTTTCAAAACTATATCCTGGAATTTTAATACTAGAAATTACAGACATTTATACACCTCTTTGCACACAGAGATCACCAATTCCAACAGTAACCCATTTACTTAGGGGGAAAAAAACCCAATATGCAAGCAACTTAAGAGTTTATCATGTTTATAGGAGAAGTTGGTATGGAAATAACACGGTTGTTCATTTATTAAGGTACTGAAAAGATCCTGCAGCCAGAAACTAATGATCAACAACAAAAAGCACAGACTCTCACAGGGGAGAGTAATTAAAGACTGGAAATAAGATGACATGGGGGATTTGCAATCATTAGAAACAAAATGAGGAGAGATCCGTTTTCTGCATGGGGAACATGAGAGCAGTGGGCAAGGCTTGGCACAGGATTTCACTCAGTCATTCCAGAGGTCCATGTTACTCAGGGGTTAAGGTAACACACCTTTAATTTGCTGTTCTTCAGGGAAGCAGCATATTTTTTCTTCTGGTTATCTTTGCACCTCAGACAAGCTGAAGCTCACCATCCCACCAACCTCTGTCTCTGGGCAGGATATCAGCTGCTGCAAGCCTGGGGCGCTACAAGAAAACTGACTTCCCAACTCTGTATCAGGATTTTTCCTAAGTTTTACATTTTTTTATAGTTCTACAATGCAGCTCTAGCCACAAAGCTGCAGGAGCAATGAAGGACAGAGCACAGCTGCAGGAGCAGCATGCAAGGCTCTGCAGTGTAACCCCTTCTCAGGGCAGAAACCACTCACCAGCCTCCTGTCACACGTGCTGCTGCCTCAGAGAGAGGGAACCTTCCCATCCCATGCAGTGCTCAGGAAGACTTCACGCGTGTACCTCTGAGAGACACAACAAAGATCCAGGCAGCAATCAGTCTTATGGCTGTTTTGAATACATTTCTCCACTATTCCACCCAAAAACAAACCAAAACAAAATACAAACCCAAAAAAATGCCCATGCCACAGCAAAAAATAACAATTCATCATTACAGCACAGATTTTTTTTCATTATGAATCTGCCCAACCAGTTACCGAGCTGGAAGCTAAACCCAAGCATCAGTACATTTGAGGAAACATAATGTCTCATCATTACAAAGCAAAGCTCTACTCCGTCAACTATCTGAAAATTATTTTGAAGAAACTTTCCTATTTCTCTTTGGCTGCATACCCATCTTGGCAAAGTCCCACCTAGATTTTAAAAAAAGTCTCCTTCACAAAGCCATACTCCTTGAAGTCTGCTCTTATTTGCCATGAATCCTTTCAACACCAGTTCTCCATATTAACTCCTTCAACCCTGCACAGCGTAATTACACGTGTTCTCTCTGCATATTTTTGCATATTTAACTGAGAGATATTTCATGCTAATGCAAAGGAAATGTCTCAGCACACATTTATTTCATATGTTATGGTTACACTGCACTACACCATCTACTTCTCAATTTCTAGATAAACACTGGCATAGTGCAGGTGTAGTTCATAAACAGCGATTGCAACAACACATAAAACACAACATAAGTACACTGACAGAACATCAGCTGAAAGTAATGCAAATGGGACTCCCCAAATTGCACATGGTAATCAAGAGCCCTCGTGAGAAATCCCATTTGAAGAAAAAAATCTCATTGTAGACCAGGAAAGTGATGACTGTAAAATCAAACAAATGGGAAGGTAAGTTTCAGCCTCAAGACATTGTGAAATCTGCAAGCACGCCAGACCTCAGAAGACTTTCTCTTAAAACCTCACATGGGATCTGAAGCTGTCTGGGATGGTCTGGAGCTAAAGAAAAGCAGCAGTATGTGATGTTTTGCCTACGTTAGTAGCAATGTGTTCGGAGGAAGTCCCTTGTCCAAATTATCATTCGACCAAGGCATTTGTGCTCCCACTGTTACTGCTCTGATGAAGCCACACGGGCTGAAGGGTTATTGAAAATACACTATCAGAACTGGATATCATCTGCCAAACTGAAGTCAACAGCAAGTGCCAGCTCAACTAAGGATATTTCCTGCCTCACCAATCCTTCTCTTCATGAGACTACAATTCTCAAGCAGAGCAGGACCACTGATCTGGTGTGGAAATGCTACTCTTGACAGAGCTAAACATCCTCCCCCCTCCCCATGAGCCTTGTATGTCTCAAGCCTCTGAAGGCATGGGCTGTCCCTTCAGGAAGCAATGAACCTCCACCACCTAGAAAGATGGACAAAATATAATCAGTTGGCAAGCACTGAGCTCAAGCAGCCTCCCTTCTCCATTCTTGACTACTTTCTAAAATATTTCATCTGCTTCTGTCACCCACAAATCCAAATCAAGAAGGCAGGTCCTATAATAAGAGCAGTGAATACTCCTGAGCTTGTAACTAGTAGCTTCTCAAACCAAAGAAACAGGTATAACTTGTTTTTTCTTCCCCAAGTTCCTCATGCATCCTCAGAATAACATCTGAACTTCAAGTAAACAGGGCCCTTCAGGATTCTGACCTTCACTAGATTTCCAGACAAGAAAATTTGTATTTACATGATTAATAATGTAATTACTATAATTACTTATAATAATATATTACTATATATATGTTAGGTACTATAATATATATTAATACAGTGATATAATTACTTATATGTATTAAAATCTTTAGAAAGGCACAGACTTCTTTCATTGACTGATGACTTTAAAGTTTAAAGCAGCATTTAATATAAAAGGAGAAAATGTAACAGGCATGAAAATTGGGTTATGCACTCACTTTACTTTAGTCTTTCACGCAAATTTAAGCACTTTACTCTGTTGAGCTTTTCGAAAATTTTCCCCCCAGTTGCAAAATTCAAACTGCAGATTCATATTGTCCATGCAACCTAATTTCCTGGTCACGAGGCTATCACCCAAAGCCCCCCAGAACTTTTTAAAAACAAACTTCTTTAGTTAACACCGTGGCTTTCCCAGAGGCTGAACAAACTGCGGCGATTCAGGCACTGCAGCCCTCCCCAAACCTCTTGTTTGCATCTCTGGTTGCTAATGCAACGGGGTGACTTTGGCAGCACTACTTTTACAAACCCATTTTAACTGCAAAAGCCAGCATATGCACCACCAATGGCTTCTGCTCTGGAATTCTGTTCTACACATCCCCAGCCTGGTCCTCGGTGGGGCTGCGGAAGCAGCCGGACTAACCCCAAACGTTTGTGATTTTCCTTCAAAAGAGATCGTTACTTTCACAGCAGTTTCTGTGGACTTCTTTTTACACTGATGAAGGCAAACTGCAAGCAGCAACAACCAGAACAACAGCAGCCACTTTGTCCGTGCAATAAAACAATGTGAAACTGCCAGCATCGTTCTGAGCTGCTGAAATTGCCAAGTTTTACTGCACTGTGTTAAACAGCTGGGCTACAAAGCAAAGTCACAAAACTGATCGTTGGTATTTCCCTCTTCCATTCACCCTTCCTCACAGCAGATGCCAACAACTCAGTTAGCCACATTTCATTAAAAAGAAAAACATGCAGTCAGCTGATGCAAATATGGTAACTGGAAACCTCTCACTGTTTTAACCATGTAGTTCTTGTCAGAACGAGGAAGGAAACGTGAACACTGCCCACTTCAAACCTGCACCTACACTTCTCTAACTGACATTTACAGCATGACTTTTGCCACTAAAAAGCAGTATTTTTCTCAGTACACAAAATAAAAGCTGCATTATGAAAAAAATTACTCGGAAAATTCAAGGTTACTCAAGACACCAGTCATATGGCATCTAATTAGCTTAATTAAAAAAAAAATTAAAACAGGGAAAGGAAAAGGAAAAAGCTACGTACCCAGACAGAAAATGGGGAGAGCAAAATACCAATGACAGCCACTCCAGACCAGAAGTATCATCTCTCCACTCCCCAAGCAAAGTTACACCGTGCCAGGTTTCAGCCATTCCGGAGAAAAGCAGGTCTGTATCACACACATCTCCCACGACAGATGTGACCATCCTCTCAAATCACTCCAACTTGAGTGCAGAGAAAGGCCACGTGCGCACCCATGAAAACAAACCTCATCTCCCAGCAGCCCCGAAAGCCAAACCAAAACCAAGAAAAGCCTGCTGTGGCAAACTGTTTCTGAAGGACCTACCACCACCAGGCCAAACCCTGCTCTCCTGCCTGCACCCACCCTGTGCTCACTGCACACCAATCCATGGAAACCATCTCATCAGCCACAGCACTTGTCAGGGAAGGCTCCCTTCCCAACAAAGACGGACTTCCTCAAGAGAAGATACCTCAAGGTACCCAATTCTTTGTGTGTGCCATGGTCTCACTTACTGTAAAAACCTTCCCCATTTTGTACACTACATCAGCTTTTATTTAGTCTACCTGCTGATCTCCCTAGAAAGAAATATATATATACACACACTCCTTTCTGTAGTAGGAGGGAAAATGCAATTTCAAGACATCAAGCCTTAGACACCACTGGCTGCCCAACCACAACTAAACAACTCAGTAACAAAAGGTTGCTTCTCAGAATCCACTTTTTTTGTCAGTGTGACAGCTTTGGTTTTCCTTCTCTGACCAAATTCAACAAAAAAACCTAATTAAGAATTAATAGGTTCACTCAGACCTTGATTGAACTAATAAAACTTTCCAACGCAGTAAAATAAAAAAATCTGTTAAATGAGCACAAGGTAAATTTCTTCTTAAATTCTTAGCTTCTCAAAATGCTCGTGGATTCCCCTCCCCTTTTGTTTTCTCTGTTTCTTAATAGACAAATCATCAATGTCATCAAAATTTAACAGCATCCTTTCAGTATTTAATAGGTACTTGTTATTAAGATAGCACAGAACATTATTCTGATGTCTTCTAAAAGGCAGATTTTATTCTTTGTTTGCCTTTTGTGTTGCACATATTTGCAAAACAACGCCCCACTGATTTTGAATTTGAGTAGAGTGAGTTCTGTTCATTTATTCAAGTGAGCTTCTGTGATGCTGATAACCAAGGCACAGTTAAATTTTAAAAGCACAAACCCAGGACTAGTTATGCAATACATACCACAAGTTTTAATAAAAAGCAAAAGCACTGGCAAGATTTAAAAGCAATAACCAGAAAATGCAATAATACATTCTGGAAGACAACTGAAACCTGGCCCTGTCATCCCAGCCCCCATTTATTCATCCAATGTCAGCATGCCTTTGGGTAAAAAATATTGATATTCAACTGCCAGTTACTTTTATAAACACATATTATTCTCTATACATTATTACAAATCACTTCAAAGCCTGATGGCTTCAAAACAGATCTCGAGATTCAAACTCCAGGTTTGCACACTCACAGTGTAAACAAAGCAGCCAACCATTCAGCTACAATTTACACAATACACACGACATGTTTTTGTGAATTCTTTACATTTAAGCTGTATAGCAATAGAAAATATGCAGTGTACCAACAAAATAGAAAAAGACAGCTCCCCAGTGAGTCACATGAAAACAGCACCGAGGCACTTACTCAGGCATTGCTGTCTGTGGGAAACTGCACCTACGTGTGCATGTCTGTGTAGTCTCTGTGTTGACCAAGGCTTTCAGAGAGATGATGAAAACCAGCCAGAGAAAGAGATCCCTCTCCAATGTATATATAAACACAAGATCATTTACAAATTAATCTCCACTTAGGTAGTATGACTCACCGTCAGTTTAAGACATCTCAATCTGCTGAGTAATTCAAACAGCTTCAGTGTTAGTTGTCAGTCAGCAGTGACAACACTAGGTAAACCTCTCTCATTTGGAGTCTAGATTACAGAATTTTACAATTTAAGACAATTCTTTTCCATTGCCACCAAATTATTCCCTATTGTGACAACTCTTTTTCTAGATGAAGAATCTTTAAATGAGCTTTCAATTTACTCCCCCTAACAAAATATCTAAAAAATTAATGTATTACCTGCAACTCAAGCTGCATGGCTGTTCTCAGAGCTCTATTACAAGAACCATAGCAAAAGGTTGCCTTGAGCACTTGGCAATGGCCTGAATTTTGTCATCAAGTAATGAGTCTGCCACAAAAACAATGACCACATGGCAGCAGCCTGCTGCATATAAATCCCTTTGCTGCTTAAAACTAGATTTTGGATCAATATTAAAACACAACCAAAACAAACCCCCTAATACTATCCGGGAAGAGTAGCAGGAGTAAAAAGCATCTGTGTTGCTCCCACGAACAGGATGCAAATTAGCACTAGGTTGTTTTACATTTAAGCAAGTGCAAAAACAAGAATATGAAACAGAGAACACTTAGCTCTGCACACAGTCAGCCCACAAGTGCTAAATGCTTCACCGTGTGAATGGGGAAAGCTTTCTAAAGAGAGATTAATACTGAGAAGCAGCAAAAGAAATGCTGCATGCTCTGGGAGTGGGCCCCCTCCCTCTCCAACCCTGCTTACCCTTTCCTCCCATAGGGCTTCAGTTCTTGGTTAACATCTCTCTGTCTGAAAATAATTGCCTACCTCCTAAAGGCATCCTGGACAGTAACACTCCTTAATCAGCAGGAGGACAGCTGAGTGATGCGAGGCTTTTCCACCTTCTCCCTGGAGTAATCACACCATCTCCAGCAGGCACTACTGCAACATCAAGAACTAAAATGACTTTAAATGTGGTGCTCTCCCATAATGAGAGCCATATTCCAATAAGGCTGCCCTCCAAAACCCCACTTCTACTACACCAGCTGCCTATTAGGGCTTACCTTATCGATACAAGTACTGCCAAGGATCAATTAGTGTAGCCTGCACACAAACCTCAGGGAAAATACATTTGTAGAAATGAACTTGGAAGGTTTGGTATATCTAGATACATAAACACAAGCAATAATCAGTTGCATTACCTTTAAATTTTTTATCACGGTGTGAACATGGTAACAAGCAGCAGTAGGTTTGCAAGTTCTAATGCCATGGCACAGGAAGGATACCAGTAGAATTATGCCAGATTTACAAAATGGGGTGAATTCTCTGCACAAATATCTTAGAAAATAAAACTAGGTATCTGTTTCTCAATAAATTGGAGAGATTGAGAGGAAAAAACATGCTCATGGGCTTTGTTAATACACTTGCAGTGGGTATACCAAGAAGGCAATGTGCAAATCAGAATAATACAAATTTTGGGTTTCATCAGATCACTAACATGCTGCAGTTTCAGTTCCAGAATGAAACATCAGCATCTAGAAACTGCATGGATGTGTTTCTTCAGAGTAAGTCACCTTTTCTTCCCCACATTCACTTGAAAAAGAAAATCTAGACACGATCCTTGCTGTCCTCTTTCTCAGAGACACCAAAATCACCTTTTCTGTGAGAACACTTAAATCCTTTAATTCTTTTTATCCAATTTTCTATCCTTCCCAACTCTGCCCCCTTTCCCAACTATCTGATCTTGAAGTCCACAGCACACAGCTCATACCTATGGCTGGTACTCTTATTCCCTGTCCCATACTCATTTAATTTTGCAGGTTATTCAATAAAAAAACAGCTTTCCCTCCTCCCCCACCCCCGCCCCAGCATCTGGGATCCACATCTGCAGAAAGATTTAGAAAAACTTACAGGAAATAATTTTCACACAGAACAGGCGAAAGGCAAAGTTCAGTGACTGGATGCAGCAGGGTCACTCAAGTTATCTCCCAAATCCTGCTCATCCTCCTTCCTCAAGGCTCACTTTCTTCTAGTTTCAAATTATGCTGTAAACTTCAAGGAAGTGACCACTTCTCTCACTGGTGTTTATATACTGTAAACTCTTAACACACCAAAGCCCTGCCTGACTGGGGCCCTCAAATGCCACCAGAACACAATAACCCTGGTAGTACCATAAACCCATCAATTACACCTGAGTCCAGAGCCTCCAGATTTTTGCAGGAAATGGAAATCATTAACTGTGAAAGTGAGACATGCTGTCCTTTCACAACCCCCAAGCCCCTCTTCTCCACACAAAGGGAACTACCTAATTTGGTTATATCAGACACGGTTTGATGGTTGGGATGAAAGTTTCAGGAGCCTTCATAATCACTTCCACAGCCTCTCAAAGAGTCAGTTAAATCTCAGCTTGCTTTTTTCTCTCCTTCCTGGACATTTTTTAAAGTTCACATTTTCATCAACTGTAGAAGATTAAACTGCTCTTGCTTCGTGCCACATTACAGAAACATTTAACCCTTTTCACACAAACTCAGAAGAACAAATACAATCAAGAATTAAAATTAAAGCAATAAGTTTTGAAAATGGAGAAAGCAATTCTTGCTTTGGGAGATCCGAAAAAAAAAAAAAGCAGCACTTTATATCCTTAAAATGATCAAGGCACGTTGAGAAACTTGAAAAAAAGTGGCAGCAATGTAAGCAGACACAGAAACCTTGAGTACAAAAAAGTTTTGCCAAGTATTTAAAGCATTCAAGCCCAGAAGTTATTTCATCACACAGAGCCTAGACAGGGAAGGGGAAGTGCTACTGAAAAGCTCAGGTTTCCAATAGTTTCCTGTTCATACTAGAATACTTCCTTGATTAATTAATGTATTCCTGTATGATGCACATCCACATAACTCCCGGGTACAAAGACAGCCCTTACACGACAGGCACTAAACCTCACCAGCACATTCTCAGCTCTGCAGATGGCCACAACAAGCAGCAAAAAGCTTCATTTCTGACCCTCACTAACACAACCTCTCCCCTTACAGCAGTTTCAGAGCTAGGCTGTTCCACACACCTCTCAGAGACGTAAAAGCCTGAGTAGCTGACCTCAGGCTCTGGACCAGATCACTCTGTCCTCCTGCCAAAGAGCTGAGCAGGGGGTCACAGCCAAAGTCCAGGCACATGCCACCATTGCCACGGCAAACCCAATTCCACCTGCCACAAAGCCTGGTGCCAAAACAGGCACTTCATTCCTGTGAGCAGTCCTCTGGCTGACAGCTGGGCTGAGACACAGCCTCTCAACTAAATGAGACACGTTTTGCTGCGCATTTTATGAAATGCCAGCAGCTCTCACCCTCCCACCCCCTGCCTCTGCCACAAACCCAAGCACTGAGAGCACCAACATAAATACAAGGTTTTGAAGGATCCTTACACAAACTTGGTAAGTCACAACAAAGCCCAAGCAAAGGAGATCACCACGCTGCTGGTGCTGTCCTGGACATCACATGCCTCGCCTCTCATTCTATACACTTAACCCTTTGGCACACATCCCACTATTGGTTCAGCGTGATGAGTCTGGAAAATCTGTGCCAATGTTACACATCATTTGCAGAGACAACAGACAGCTATGTGTACATTTGTTGTACACAACAGCATTAGGAATTTCAGGCAACTACAAAGCAAGCTTTATATACAATACTTCTTTGTCCTACATGTTAGAAATGCTATATATATAACCTGATTTACGTAAGCTACTAACTAAAAAAATAACAAAAATACCAACTTTCCTCTACCTATGTAACTGTCTATGCAGTTTGAGATCAAAATTTAGATTAAAACAATTTCTAAGCAGCTTGATATTGAAACCTAGACTAAAGTGATTTTCATTTTAATGAAGCATGAATTCTAAGTCCCATGGAATACACTTGTCTTTAAAAGCAAGGTATCAACTATGTTTTTATGAACCGTTTTGAAGTAAAGGAAATGAAACATCAAGAATTAAAAACTAAATTGACTTTTAGCTACAGCTTTTCTCTTTGAGTAAAAAGCAATAATCACCCATTTTTATTACAGTTTTGGCCTTCACATTCCTATACTCAGGATGATTCAGGAAATGATGAAGCTGTTTTTTCCAGTACAGGCAGTACCCACCTGACATTGTTCTGGCTCCAAACAGTACAAACAGTTCCATCAATACATTTTCAAAAAATGACTAGCTGAAATGAACACAATGCTTCAAAACTGTGTTTTTTCTCTCTGAATGCTGAAATTGATAGGCATCATTACTGTTCATATCTCAGCAATAAAACTTTTTTTTTCTTGTTTCCCACAGGAATCTTAATATATGCCAGCTTTAGATTGTATGGCCTATAAAATGCTTATGGTTTTACTGTCAATATTTGATTCATTTTAAGCCTAAACAAAGGTTCTTCTGCCTGTGAATGGAAAGCACACTCAAGAGGTGGCAAAAAAAAGTAACAGCATATTGCCTGAGTAACCAAATATAGAATCTCAACTACATTTACAATTTTCAAGTCTCAAATCTCAAGGCTTGAACATCTTGAACTCTGCGACCACAAAGGATTTTCAACACCACAGGAAGGGTCTCAAAAGAGCCTGCTGAAGTCACTTGATCACATCTGAACAAGTTCTGAAGTCATGGCAGCAATCCTGCATGGACATCTAACCAAACGTTTTCATGGTGCTACTGCCTGTAATGGAAGTACTACACTGAAAATCCACACTGCTCTTCTTAGTGAGACCATCAAACCATTTTTCAGAAGCCAACGTAAAAGCCTGCAAATTCTGAACAGAGGCTACTGTATTATCTTGTACACATGTATCTATTCCAGATGAGCATTATCCAGACAGACACTTCAGGATCTGGATGAACTGTTCACCAAGGCTGCTCAAACGCCATGGTCTGAACACACGAGCTCACAGCATCTTTCCAGCCAGAGGCACATGTTTGGATCATCAGGGTCTGTCTTGCATTCTATGTACCCATCTTCAAACTCCAGCATATGCTTTCAATATTCCTAATTTTTGACCACTTGGTTCCCCACCTCTACACATCTCTGTCTGCCTTTTAGGCCGTTTCAATTCATGTTATTTACTTGGACCTTGCTTGGTTTTATTCTCTTTTGATGGAACACAAACCCTTACAAAGCTTGCAAACAACTCTTCAGTGCCCTAAAACAGGGGTTAGAATCTTGGTCATAATTGATACAGAAGCTAATAAATCATGTTTCCTACTCTCAAGCATTACCCCACTCCGCTCTTAGCACCATACAACAGCTATGGGAATGCTCTCCTGCCCCATAGCAGCAGCTGACAAAACCAGCACAACTTTCCTTCTCTGGTGATAACCACTAGAACAAGACCACCCTAGAGAGGAGGCGTTTGTCCCTTTGGTGTTTTACTGACAGCAGTCTTCCCTCAGAAGAAAAATGACCACACTCTTCATGGGTGTAACTGTACACACTTGCATGATGTTTTTGTGTTCAGGTGGTTAAGGCAACTTGGCCCAACAGTTACTTCAGCCTTAAAATCCAACTGTTTAACTCTGGTTGAAGCTCAAAGTTGCCAAAACAATGCTTCATCCTCTGACTATTAAAAAAAAAAAAAGAAAAAAGAAACAACCCACACTGATTAGTGCTAAACCTCACCTTTCTGATTCATGAAAGCTGAGGGAAATGCTGTAACTATGCCCTCAAGTCCATACAATCCTGTGTGACCAGGATGACCTATTTTCTGCTGCTTTTATTTAGATCCCAAGCAGACAACAGTTATATCTTAACAATATCAATATCCATGCCTAGCCTTCCCTCCAAGTTTTCTCTCTCTTTTCTTTCTCTCTTATAAAGGAGAACATTTTTCTAAATGTGCCAGCATCAGGAACTTTCCAGTCCTGTTTGCACAGTCACTACGAACTTGGCCCAGTGACCAACTCAGT